AAAAAAAAAAAAAAAAAAGGCTCAAAGTATACCAAAGTAGCATGGGCTGGGACAAATGCAGAGACGAGGGAGCAGGCAGCCCTGGACTACCTGCTCCTCTGTCTCCACGTGCTGCACTGTGCTCCCGTCTCAAAGTACAGTGTGCCCTAGCCAGTCGTGAAGGCTGGCAGGGGTGCAGGGTGCCTCAACAGGGGATGTGGGCACAGGGTGGGGGCACAATTGTCCCAGCTCACGCCCCTCTGGTGTGCTTTGAACCTTTTTATATTCAGAGGGGGTTTTTTTTATTTCCGGGAAATCCCGTTAGCAAATTAGCAGCACTATACACAGCTTAATGTGCCAGGAATGTGGTTTGTGGTGCCACAAAAAAGTTAGGGGTACCACAAACTGCATGTGCCTGCATGTCTGGATCTGGCCTATGTGGCTAGAAAGCTGCCATTTGAGCTTGGGGAATGCCCATGCCAGTCACCCTCTGGCATAGGGCAGATTACACTGGGTGGGGTAGGGGTGGCTGGCCCCAACTGTGCTGGCCCCAGCAGCCTGCCCTGGGGGGGAAGGGGAAGCTGCAGCCATGGCACTCCTGCTCATTTGTTCCTGGTCATTAATAATTCCAAACAAAAGGATCCTAATTTCTTTTATTCCACATTTTAAAACAGAAAAAAGATATAAGCTCATCTAGTTGGCTCTTGGTCAGGTTTCTAAAGGGATTTAGGAACATAAATATGCAGATAAACACTTTGAAAGATTTTCAAATGGGTCTGGGTGTCTAACTCTCACTGATTCCTGTATCTGTAAGTCAATAAATCCTTAAAAATTTGGCTCTAAGAGCTTTGGATTTTATATTTCTTAATAACTTTGAAGTCTGCTAAACGAAGTGCATTTTACAGTTCCTTCTGATGGATGCCAAGTTTGCTGTAAGACGTGGCTCCAGTGGGAGTGCATTTCAGAGGTGAAGGTCCTGGTTTCAGCTATGCTAAGTTTTGCCTTTGGGAGAATAAGAACAAGGTTAGAAATGAAGAGCCGGCCATTTACTATCTTGTAAATACTGACTAACACTTTCTATTTCACCCAGGGGCCTCTAAGCAGTGAGTGAAGACAACAGAGCACAAGCACAAACTGCTTGCAGTGGATGAGGACACTCAGAAGCCAGGAGCTACTTTTTATATAAACTAGTTCTCCTGAGTATCTGCAATAGTCACACCAGGCCAGTTGGCCTAGGTTAGATTTGCATCTAAAAGAAAAGTAAAATTTGTTCCATTATTTTAAATTAAAATTAATAATAATGAAAAAAAAAGTCTAGCCAGAGAAGCAAGTTAGAAACTTAGAAGCTGCGATAGGTCTACTAAGCAGCCCGGGGCTGCAAATCATTTTTACGGTGGTACAGAAGATACCTTTAGGTGTTTGGTGGTTGCAGAGGTAGGAAGCAGTATGCCCTCAAAGTACTTCTCACTGCCAATCTGCATTGCTTCTCTCCTGTCATAAAATAATAGAGAAATAAGGCTGGTAGGGACTTTGAGCATTTGGCTATGCTGTGTCAACAACTGATTCTGGGGAAGAAAAGCTAAATGTACCATGCCCACCTGAATCCTTAGATGTACTCCAGACCTACAGTTTCACCGGTGAAGCTGACCCAGACTTACTGTGAGTGCCTGCTCTTGAGTCTTTGGTCTCTGATGTACCAGAGTTTGGTCATTAGAAATGAGCCCAGAGGAGCTTCACTGGCAGACTTCTAGGTCTGGAATATGCGAGTAAACTTGGGTGGCTAGGGGACTGGAGCACCATCCCAGAGTGTGATTGGGGGGCGCAGGGTGCCAGAATGGTCACTTCCCAAGAAGTCTGTGATACTGATGCAGCTGCTGCTGCTTCACCTAGCTATAGCAGCAGCAGCTAGGTGAAGAGACTCCACACAACTGCTTCTGTAGCAGGAGCAGCAACATCCAAGGCCAGGCAAATCATTCTATACAAGCAACACCTAGAGCAGTGGTCACCAACCAGTGGATCTCGGTCCACTGGTAGATCTCAGAGCTTCTTGTGGTAGATCGTGGAGCCTCTTGGCATTGATCTGAGGCTGGGGTGGGGGGCTGAGTGCTTGCGTGCATGCACGCACATGCCACAGCCCAGCAGGTCAGTCCATGGGGGAGAGAAGCAGCAAGGGATAGATTGAGGCCCTCGCGGTGAGGGACAGTGCTGCAGAGGCAGAAGCAGGTGCAAGTTGAGTGGGGCCCCAGCCAGGTGAGACTTACCCCCTGGGGAGGTGCACCCCCAAATAATTTTTTCTCCCTCTGCCTCAATCTGCCCCCCTTCCCTCCCCACAGATATTCCTGATGGGAAGGGTGGGGGGAGGGAGGGTAGCGGCAGTGCATAGTGGATCTTGGGTTGCTTTTAAGTGCCAAAGGTGATTCCCTACTTAAAAAGGTTGGAGACCACTGACCTAGAGACTTTGAGTCCCTGGGACCAAGGACAATGATCTTTCATCCCCATTCCCCCTCTCCCCACCCTAGTTCTCCCTTCCCTAGCAGGGTTCAGTCCAGGTCTTACCTGACCCCCTGTCAGGGTTTTGTCTAGGCACTCACACCCTCCCCATCCAGGCAGGGTTTTGCCTAGGGTTCAACATACGTACATCCCTCACCAGGTTTTTGCCCAGTGCACAAAACCTGCTCATTATGCAGTTAGGTATCCTGAGCATGCCTTTCCCCATCCTCACTAGGACCAACAGATGAGGCAGCACAGATGAGCCCCAACAGATCATCTAGTCCAACCTCCAGCTCACAGCAGGATTATCCCTGTATAGACCATCTTGTACAAACGTTTGTCTAACTTGCACTTACTTGGGGGAGGTTCAGCCACCTAGCTTTTACCCACCTTCCAAACTCCAACAGATTGCAGGGCTGCCAGTCAACTGCCATAGTATAATCGGACCAAAAAAGGAAGCGCACAGCATCTCTGACAGTGGCTTTACATGGAAGTTGAACCATGGAGAACCATGATGCGTTATAGATGATGGTTCTTACATTGGAGCAGCTTTCAGCTTTCCATTCTTGGCTTCATCTGGAAGTGAATGAAAAACATTGTTGGAGATTCCAGACATGTTTCTAGGTCCTAGAGTCATACCAGGAACACCTTGTATACTGCCTGCTTTCGGACTAGTGAATATTCCAGAGAAATCCACTTAAGTGCAAGAGAATGGGGTATTACTGCTGTTTTGCCATTGACCTTGTCAATTAATTTATGTAGTATAACAACATTTATAAACCTGCTATCTCATGATTCTTCAACTGACAAAAAATGTCCATGGCTGCTCCCCAAATCCCAGGGGAGAAGAGGTACAAGGTACCCTCCCCTTCTACCTTATAGGTCTGTAGAATATAACAAAACCTGTAGCTAGAGCAGGGGCGGGCAATTATTTTGGGCAGAGGGCCGCTTACTGAGTTTCGGCAAGCTATTAAGGGCCGCATGACAGGCAGCTCAGGGCAGATTAATATTAATTATCTACCTTTTTTTAGGGGCCCGGCAGGCCAGATAGATTGGCTTGGCGGGCTGCATCCAGCCCCCGGGCTGTATTTTGCCAACCCCTGAGCTAGAGACATAGCAGAGCAGTTTTGTGCCCAGGGCAGCCGCAGTGCACATGGCAATGCTTCTGCAGTGGTGCCAGTTGTAGCAGGGCGATCAGCTGCCACTATCGTAGTAGTTATTTTTGTATCCCCACACCCCCCACAACAAAGTCAGTACCCAGGGCTGTTGCCCTGATCAACCTCTTCCACCCCTGGTCACACTACTGTCTAGAGCATTTGTGCCTCCCTAAGGCACTAACTATTTCCTGTATGCATCCTCCACAGTGGAAGACAGCCTAGAGAAGATAGGGCTACATCTCTGTCTATCCCCACGAACCAAGAAAACATGCCCAGATACAACTGCAGATAACATGCTGCACTATCTAAAACAGAGTCACAATTGGTGCACCCTGCCTATACTCTAGGGGAACTCAGCAAGAAATTCCTTCCAGAATTGCCCCTGGTACAATATGGTTCCTTGCTGCTCCCAACTAGAGGCTGTGCCTGACTCACACAATAGTCCAGTTTGATTAATCAATGCTGCTCTAGCAGCCAAAGTAAAATGAGCTCCATTGTACAAGTTTAGCGAGTTCTTTTATTCACTGTTTCAGGGTTACAGGCACTAATTTCCACTGTCAGGCAACGTTTTTGGTTCAAAACTACAGTGAAATGTGTTTTGTTTTTCTAGAACTGAGATTGATTAAATTCTGATTAAAGTCTGAAGTTTATTGGGGGGGGATCCCCTTAAAGGTACAGCAGCTGCACAAGAGAACATTTCATCATAAAGAACAGGCTGATTCACTGTATTTCTCCTGGGTACAGATTGTTGTCTCCCCCACGCAGTCTCCATCAAATAGAAAGAAATGTGAAAAACAGCACAGTATATGTTTGGTTGTGCATATTTTGCAACAGACAATTTTGAAAGCTCCAGTCCTTCTCAAGGGATAGACATAAGAAAAGACAATGGGCCACACTTCAATATCAGGTGCACCAATAAAAATCCAGTAATTCTACTCTTACGGCAAAAAGAAAGGCTGAGTATTGGACATTCAGAGTCTCTTTTGCTGAGCCAAAAGCTGCCGAGAACCTTCAATTTTCAGGTCATTCTGTTTTCGTCAATCATTAAACTACAAGAAGTAGTTTAGTAAGTAACAATAAGCTTGTGTTAAACCTGATGTTCTAGTGGACTAAGTTGTGCCCCAGATTTAACCTATTACAGAAAGTTCATCTCAAACTAGTCCTGAATCTTCTGAGAGCTCAAGAGTAAGTATATCCATGAAAGCTATCCAGACTAATTTGTTCAATCAACAGCCCCTAAATTGAAAAAAGAGGGTAAAACCAACCATCCACTTAAGAAGTAGGTTTTCATCTCTCTTCCAACCCTTATTTTACTATATGTTGTATATTCAGTAAATGAAACCAGCAAGTAAAAGTTGCCTGAAACCAGAGTTTCATGTTTCGTGTTTCAAATTTATGTTTAAAAGTTCCATGTTTCAAATTCCAAGTGAAATGTCAGGAGTAATTCATTCAAGAGATGGAATGGTCCCTGAGGAGCAATGCAGCCCTCAGTTATAATACGAATAATGAAACAAGCCTAGGAGATTTTTTTTTTAAACATAGACAATGTAGAACAGTTACCAGAAAAATACCACTGTACATCCTTTTCTGGATTCCATAATAAATTCCAATAAATAACACTGTGTGTTAAGACTCATTTGATTTTTCATCCATCAGTGAGATTTTTGAACATTTAAATGGGAAGGGTATTTCGCTTTGCTTTGCTTTTCAGTTGGTTCCTTCCATGCTTGATCAAAGGAAAGGAGCAGCTGAAAAAGAATTAAACCTTTGTATAAGTGCAGCCATTGTATAAAGTGGCTTGTCACACATACATCGTGGAGAATGATGCCCCAGAGAGAACATGTAGAGTATGAATTGCAGAGTCCTGTGAAAGAAAACTTATGAGAAGACAACATTAAGAAGGCAGTCTGAGTTGAACTTTTTATTGTTCTGTTCCTGTTTATGTTGATAAAGCCAAACTAGGAATGGCGTAAATGTGTACTCCACATAATGTAAGTACTATATTCAAGAGATGGTGGCAAATTGTATGTGCTCATCTGTGACATCAGGTGTTTTGTATGGCCTTTTAGTAAAGCAAATATACAAGAGGAAAACAGAAACAGTCCCTTTAGCGTCTAAAGGCATGTGTAGACTAAATGAGGGGCATGTGTGCATGACACTTTAAAGCAGGTTATATGCTTTTGCACCATTTTAATGGTGCTGGTGTTTGTACGCATCAGCAGCATGCTGCATATTAATTCCAGCCACTTTAGCACATTCGGCGGTGTAATGCACCTTAAATGACTTTGGGGTGCAGCAAACTAAAACACCTCTGAGGAGTTTTAGTTTGCTGCCCTACAGCCATGTAGCAAAGCACTGGGCTTTGTGTGACTCAAGGACTGTGCAGGCAGCCAGTGCAGGCAGCCTGGCAGCAGCCCAGGAGGCAGGGTCCACCAAAGGAAAAAAAAAAAAAGGGGGTGAGCCTGATCTTTTTTTTTTTCCCCCCCTGGAGCCTGCCTGCCTGTATGAGCTGTGCAGGGACCCGGTCCTTCCCTCCATGGCTGTGGTTCCCCCCAGGACTGCCTGAGCTGGGTGCCTATGGATGGGTGATGCCTGGGGGAGGGCCACCGCTGCTGTGGAGGGAAACACCAACCCCCTCCACCCCCAAAGCCCAGGGACTGCTTTGCCCGCCAGCAGCTCGCCCTACCCTTCCTACCACTGGAGAGGCAGGTAAGACACAGGTGTACATGACACGGGGGTTTACTTAACCCTAAATTGAAGCAGTGTTTTTAAAAACCCATTGCTTCTATTTAGGGCCCCCATTTCATCTACACATGCCCTAAGTGATCAACAGAAACAGCAACAGCAGACCAGGTCTTAGAGCAGGTCAAAAAGGAGAAGAGAGCAAAAGAGCAGGAATTTCAAAACCTTACAGTGATCCACCAATATAGCCAGTCAAAAAAAGAGAACATTTTCTTCCTGAAAATAGTCATAAAAATTCAGCCATCCCCTTTTTAGTCAATATTGCAATGAACATTTTGCCAGCCTATTCAACAGTCAAGTAAAATTGGCTATTCTTTATCCAACGTAAGAAATATATAGAGGAGTACATGTTCTAAAACTCCATTAACCTGGAGATATCACCTAGTCTTCAGTGAGTATCACTATTTCTCTCCTTTAGATGAGTCAGATCTACCAGATAACATTTTTGCAGGAAACCATTGCTGCCTGATGGGAAGAATTCTGAGCTGCTTGTTTAGTACATTCATTATCATGATCGCAAACTACATTGTGGCCAATGCATGAAAATGTTGCCACCAGTTGAGGCCAAAGTTGTTATCTTGGACTGGCTGAGTTCTTGGAGCAGATATTACCCTCTTCACTTACAGCGGGTTAGGGATAACTGATAAAACAGTTGCCATGGATCAGCTGATAAATGTTCCCAAATAATAAAGCCCCTTCTCTTTAGAAGGTACAATTGTACAAACTGTTCATGCCTCTGGTTAGGGCTATTTCAGTTATTCAATTTGCATCTTATATGCCAGGCATCTCTGTGTTCAGAGGCATCTCAGAATATTTTGTCCATTCCATTATCCCAGGAAAGCCTTAGAGCTTATAGTGCTGGCCCTGTACCACCCCATAGCTGCCCTTGTCAGATGTGGAACAGAGGGGCATCAACAGGGAGAAATCTGGTTATGAAGGTCCTGTGCCTGACCAGCTCCCTGCTGTAGCAAACCCCATTAGAATTCTGCCATTGAAGACCATCCCTGAAAGAACCACATCTTGCACCAGTGACTAAAACAATATCTTTTCTCCTAGAACTGGAAAGGAAGAAGCAATTTACTTTCATTCCACATGCTGGCCCTGTGAACGAATTTGCCGCTTTGTTTAAGAAGATAATATAATTTCTCAGTCTTACATAAACAGCAGTTTCATTCCAGAATTATACAGTAAGTATATCTATGCACAACATATTCATATGTGGAAGCCTTATGCGACAGAGGGCCAAACCGGGGCTGGGTCTCATGTCAGCCCGCCCACATGCCTAAGTAGGGCAGTCCACCCATTCTCTCCTGCCACAACTTGCTGGAATAGTAAACTGGTGTTCTCAATGGGAGGCTGCCCATTATAATGCCCCAATGACAGGGGGCGCTATCCATGGCTCTGCACTGACCCTACACCATGGCCCATGCCTTGCTGATAGGATTGCAAGTTCTTAATGGCTCTGGCCCCACACTGGGCCTCATAACTTTCTAGTCTGGACTCCAACTAGATCCCTCATATTCAGGCGGTCTACTCCACCCTCATTCTGGGCTGCCAAGCTCCCTTCACTCTTCTCCCTCTCAGCAGTGGCCCCCTCTGTGGGACCTTTGGTCACACAGACCCTGGCCTCGCCTCTATGCCACTCAGAACCCCAGCCCCCTGGCTGTGGGCACTCTGGCCCTTTGGACTCTTCTGGTCATTGACCAGTTGAGGGCATCTTGAGTCAGGCTCCAGAGCAGCTAGCCCATTCTCTCTTATATAGATCCACCTTCTTGGGCCCTACTACAGGGTTATCCACCCAGTTGTGGGAGCTGGAATTTTAAGGCACCCCTTCTCACCTTTCACTGGGGAGGTTTAAAGTCAGGCATTTGAATGACACTACCCCACCACAGGCAGTCCCTCTAGGCCTCTGTACCCCCAGCAGGGTGCAGTTTTAGGTCATGCCCAGGACCAGGAGTCTCTTGCCATCCCCATAGTTCCTGCCTTTACCTCCAAGATATTGTAAGCAGCAGCTCAGCTGGGTGATGTTGCTCCCTCAGCTGCAAACAGCAAACTACTGCCTCTGCCTGCCTTGCCTAAGTTTGAAAATGGCCACCTTAATCAAGCACCTGCTGGCTCCAGCCCTTAAAGCACTGCCACACCTTGTATCTATTTTTTTTTAGGAAAATGCCATGTCCTAAATATATATTCTAGGCCCATTTTGATTTCTACAGAAGAAAAATGACCATAAATTTAATGTCAGACACCTGATAAAAGCTATAGAGTATCTGCAAATGCAGTTCAAGGGACAAGTGAAATGGAGGAGTTACATCTCTGTTTATTAATAAATGATTCTTTCCTGGCTTAACTTATAATGCATAGATTGATGCTAAATATTCTATAAAACAGAATACATTACATAAAGTAGATGTAAGAATACAGTTTATCCTAGTTTCTATTTGTGCATAGACATATGGAAAAACTGTAGCTCATAGATGATTTAAGAAAGTTGTTTGCAGTTTGATGATTCATTTACTTTTGGTTCACCTATTTCCAAAAAGGCCTGAAGAAACATTCAGTTCCTGCTTTTGGGGGCCATAATTTCTGTGAAAAATCTCCTCTCAATATGTATCAGAGATGTTTCCAAACAAGTTTTTGTTCTTATTCCTATTTAATGAAGCTTCTTTCCATCTCCTCATCCCAATAAAGGAAACTCACTGCCAAGATTATTCTTTTCATTCCCAATAGGGAGAGCATGATTTAGATTGTCTAGAGTACTGCTTACCTTTTGACTGGTTGTATCCAGGTCTCACATTTTGGAGCAAGAGAGGGAAATTTGTCATGTACCATCTCAAACTAAAGCAGCAAGAGGTCTGAAAGAAACGGAAATTCCTCTTGTTAAATAGGTATGGTACTATTTAACTTCTGGTGATACTGTGCACTATGTGACAATGTTCTGTTTTAAAGATATAGTATTACTGGGTGCCAACAATTTAATTGTTTGCATTCTTTATACCTCCGTTTCATTGACTTCAGTCAAGAGTTCTATTACATGGTGCAATGGGATCTCCTGGATATATACCAGAATATATTAGTATATACCTTATGTCAGAGTCATTGAAGTGTTCAGTGAAAAGAGCACTTCGAGACATAAAAATGATATAAAGGCCAAAGTCAACAGAAAGATTCGCATTAATTCTGTACATTTTGGATCAGGCATAAATAAAAATGGAACATGCCATGCTCCTTTTTTACCTTCCTTAAAAAAATTAAGGATAAACTCCCAAGGGTGTTTAGGAACTTAAAGAGGCATATAGGCACAGAAGGATTTGGAAAATCCCAGTTAGTCAAATTTAAGTAGTTCAACATACATTTAAAAATCTGTGTCTTCTAGTACTGTCAGATGCATCATATAACACAGTTTAGACTTAACAGTATTTCTTTTATGAAATGCACAAAACATTTGTTTTATAAAACAGCATGTGAAATGAATCTAGGCTACAAAGTTGAGTTAATTAGTAGCTGGAAATGTATTTCAAATTTCTTTTATTACAGTAACCAGGGAAATTACCTTCTTTATCTAATTGATTCTACTACCGTTTTTTTACATTTTGAGTATATCTACATGACACTAGACTACCCTTCAGTCAAAGTTTGATCTAGCTTTAAACTAGCCGGCTTAGGCACTGGAAGCAGTATAGCTGCTGCAGCACAGAGCTCATAACCTTTTGTAGAAGCAGGAGGAATACTCAGGCAATTAGCCTTGCTGATTCAATGTTACCATGGCTGCACTGCTACCTGAACCAGACTTAGCTAGTTTAAACCTAGCTTGTGTGTATGTCTGTGATGTGCTGCAGTCACTGCAGTGTACTGCAGCGTAGCCATACTCAACTGTACTTGAACTATATTTCATCTCAAGGAAGACTCGATTCATTCTTTCTATGTAAAAGGAACAAACCTTCAGTATATGCCCAGAATGAAGGTAAAACAAACTACTATGCTGAGTTTATCTACCATAGATAAGAGGACAAAGAGCTGAAATGGATTTTAATTCAGTGCTGACTGTAACATCGTATTATGTCGAACAACATGCACAAGGGGTTTGATCTGACATTATGTAACACAGTTTAACACAGCAAAACTGACTGAGAACAGAAGCTGAGTTTTGTAGTAACGGTTACTGATATTTAAGACTGATCAAATACTCATTGCTGTTGGCTTAGAAATGGTACTTAAAGGCCTGTTTTGGGGGAATTGGCTTATAGGTATAGATATATGTATTATAAGGGATCAAGATGGGCAGCGGGGGTTAATGGATTTCTAAAGAGTTTGGGAGACACCCACAGCTTTTCATGGCCCTGGAAGTAGAAGGCTGTCTAGCACAACAAGGCCAATAGATGGACACAGCCTGAGAATGAAGGGGGGCATGCTATAACATACGATCACAGCCTTCAAGACAGACAGGTTGTCTAACACAACAAAGACACACAGTCTGGGAATCAAAGAAGTAAGTACCAAAGAAGTACTGTCCCATAACACAAGATAAGTGACACCAGCCACAAGGCCTCAACAAGCAGGGGGGCCTAAGTCCCAGTTTTGGGGGAACAGACCAAATTAAGAGAAGGTCCGGAAGGCTACATGGATGTGTGACCACAGAGAGACAACCAACCAGAAATAGCCATGAATGAAGAGTCATCAACGGGGAAGGAGAATACAAAAGGAGAGACTTGAGATTAACAAAGAGTCCCTCCCTGTTCCTTCTCATCCCACCCTTGATCCCATCCCTCCCCATTTTGCTTCCTGAGAGGGGTCCCCATCTCTCAGGAAGGGTCTCCAAGGCTGCCATCGACAGAGGGCACACACCAGCAACCTGTCTCATGCACCCCACTGGAGAGGGGCTATGGACCTCGGCATCCCACCTCCAGACTGCTGACACCTAAGAGAGAGCCTCATAGTGGATCCTGTATACTGAGCAGATGTACTTTGACTCTGATGACAGCCCTAGGATTGGTAGATATAGAATTGTTTGATTGTTTGTATTGTTGATTTTTTGTTTTTATTCTGTATCAATAAATTTGCCTATTTTTGACTGGCAGGTGTTGTGGTCAGTCTGAGGGTTGTGCCTGTCTAGAACAAAGGTATAGGTGCTGGGTCCAAATCTGTTGTTAACAATTACCAGTCACTTCATGCAGGATTGCAGTATCTATCCTATGAAATGGGAGGCGCATAATAATATAGTTAGCTTTCTCCATTAAATGACACATAAAAACTTTGATTATTTGATACAGATATCAAATAATCAGTGACTCTCTACATTATTAAATTAATCATGTAGAGAGTCACTGATTATTTGATATCCGTATGGGGGTGACAAACTTGTCATGATGGGCTGTTGCTTGTAACCCAGCCCTCACTGCAGTGCATGCACAGTGCTTCCCAGAAATCAGCAGATTCTGCAAAGGGAATAGCTACAGAAAGGTAGGTGCCCTGCTGATGCAGTGGCAAGAGTAAACTGAACATGGCAGGCAAAAAGACCTTGAGGACACCTCCTTTGCCACTGTGGATAATGTCCACTGTCAATTCCCTGAGCTACTGAAGATAGGCAGCATCCAGACTATTCACAAGTCAGATCTGATCTGTGGGCTATAGGTTGATGACCTCCAAACTAGATAATAAAGATAATGTTGAATTTTGCACTGAAAGAAGATTAAAATGCCTTTATTTTTCATTCTCTAATAACCAGATTTAGTCTTCAAGTCACTGTGCTTGGTTCAGTTGATTTTTTTTTTCAATAATTACTGGCGAGGATTATTCATGTATTCATTTGTGGACAATTACATTGTCAAATGTTTTAAACATATGACATCTTTCTGAAATTCACTGCAAAACTATACAGGGGAATTTCCAGAAGGGCTCAATGTTTATCAACCACTGCTCCCAGAGATATCAATCGTACAACCCCCATTGAATAATAGAAACATCATTAGCTAGCATCAGGTTATACCCATAATGTCAGATTCCTCCAGCTAAAAAAAAAAAAAGGGAAAAAGAGTGATTCTATATTCTCCATACCAGGGCATTCCAATATATCAAACACAAAAAGAATTATTCTTCACAAATTATCTTACCTTTTCAAGGAGAGGCCAATGATACAATTTTAACATGAGCAATTATCAGGTAATGAAAATGACCTATCTATTTTGTAGGAAGATAGATACAGCTGAGATCTTTGTCATGTACTCTCATTGCACCTATTATGTACTAAATGCAACATTTAACAGAGGACAGTGATCAGAACTTGAGAAATTAAGAACATCATGAAAAAGAAAATATCTGCAGAAAAAATCCCATTGACAATAAACTGAAGAAGATCATAGGCTAGAGAGAGAGGAAATGAAACATTTTGCACAAGTTATATAGCATTTTACCCTGTGCTGCACTTAGCTATATCATAGTAAATATTAAGGGTAGTTTCATAAGCGTATTTTAATCACTAAGTTAATTTCATTAATTTCAGCAGTATTAACTAGGGGCCATTTGGACCAATTATAAGGCTTGTGCCTCTCATAGGTGATCTTGGAAAACCATCCACCGGAAATAATACCATTACCTAAATACTGTAAAAACCTCCCAGTTAAACAAAGAACTGTATTCATGTGTATCAGACACGCTCTCCCCTATTGCTTAATAAACCTTACTAGTAACCAATTTAGAAACAAAGGGCATTCTATGGGCTGGTCAGGACATATGATACCACACACTAGGGTTTCTTTCTTTTCCAGCTATGCCTGAATAACCTTATGAATTTAGAGTTTGAGTAGCACAAGTTGTCTAACAAAAGTTCAGTTACTCATGAATAATTTGGTTTTCAATGTGTATGTGAAGAAAACAGCTCAACACAAGGCTTTTTGTATTAAAGCCATCTGTGAGTCATGGTATCATCATGCATGATATGGGATCATTATATGAGAGCAGTAGTGCATGAAACTGCATGGGAACAGCGTATGAAAGGCCACCTTCAAGATAACATGCATAGTTCCTGGCAATGATAATTTAATAGATTTTTTAGGAGTTGTGGTGTGTTTACAAGAGCTGAGCTCCATTATCTTTTCTACAAATATACTCATATGCAATGCTTTGAGTATTTTAAAGGTTTTATTAACATAAGTTTAGAAGGGGTGTATTATTCATGAATGATGAAGAAATGTGAGTTATGCAAAGTAGATAGAATTTTCAGAGCAACTTTCCAGGTACCCCTCCATGTGTGGCATGTATGTTGCAAAAAAGATATTTAGAGAGATTGTAGAGTGTTTATTAAACATGTATTGGAATTGGTTTTGTTATCCTCTTGCCTACAAAGGGAAGTACATTAATTATTATGAATGAAGTCTTGTTCTAATTGCAGTCAAAGGTAAAATTTCCATTAATTTCCATGGCAGCAGAATCTCACCAAGGATTCCAACTATTCATCAGCCTAATGGGGAAATTATATACAGAGGTGTAACAACACAGTCAGACATCAAGGACAGCTGAGACACATGGGAGCAGCAGCCACTTCTGGCTGCTGCCATGTCATTGGCCACATCCCTAAGCAAGCACTCAGGACACCTGCCCTGGTTGTGCCCCCCTAGTTGTGCTACTGGGTTATATACATCTTCAAAAAAAACTTAACTAAAACAGTTTTTTTAGAAGTGAAAAATGTCAGAGATAAAATGCATTCTCTCAATCCTAGAATCAGGGTGCATAAAGAAGATATACTTAAGATATTTGTTCTTCTGAGTCACATACTAGACTTCACTCAGTCAAATCCCAGATGGGGAACCCAAATTTTTCACTTACATTAACATGATCTGAATGGTCTGGACTTGGAACT